ATAAGATAGTTCTTTTGAAATGGACAGTCGAGGTAGCTGTCCGTATTTATTATCAAAACAATGATGCAGTGCATCGTGCAGTTAATCTTTTGAACACGAGTTGCGTATTTTATGCTTCAGGTAGATTTGCAGTGAATAAACTGCATTTAAATTAGGAAAAGATCGTTCAGCATCAAATTATAGTTCCAGTTACCTCGTTGACCAACAGCTTCGAAGTTCATCGCTGACCTGTATGACTGCGCTAACGTCTAAGCAGATTATACTTCACCAGATCTGCCTCTGCCGTAACATGTAATCAGTACTTTGACTGTCACACCTCTTCAAGTGATAGCGGCGTTATATCACATTACTGCATCGTCACTAAACGAGATATACGATGTATTTATATCTTTTACTAAATGCAAAATGCCGAAACGAACCAAGACTTTCAAAAGTGTTGTTTTAGTAGTTTTAAGGGAAAAACTGATTTCCGTTCTGATAATGCAGACTGTTATGGCTGAGGCACTTGCAAGACGGCGAAGGAGCGAACAGATGATCGGATAGCTTGTTTATAATGAGCACTTGATATAGTCGCGCTTTTGAATCTAAGTCATGGAGCTTGCAAGATGTGGTTCACTGCGGAAACCTGAAGTTGCTGCCCACTGAGCCGAAAAATGGCGAACTTTGGAATTGGATGAATAAAAAGACTTCCCTTCAGCCTGTTCATATATATATAGCAAAACGGACCGAGCTTGATCCGAAGCGTCAGATGCTCGAGTTCGGAGCCTCGTTAACTCGAGATTCAGGGAATCAAAAAACTTCACGTCAGGTTCGGATATTCGGTAGCCGACGTTTTCTGCTTCATTGTTGCCCGGCCTGTATTAGAGTCAAAGGCTGTTTGCTGTAATGATAGTAAGATGAATCGTTGTTGCGAATGCGTAATCAGCATGCAAACGTAATGTTGACATCAGACATGCTCTCGATTAACGACATGAACGGCGGAATCCTCATTCCGCTAACGATAGCCGGTGTAGCAGTTGGTGCAAGGTTAGGGGCAGGAAGTGAGCGGACCCTTGAAGGTCGATCGATTCGGTGTTCGCTGTGTGAATGTGACGCCGTCCACTGACGCATGCACATGATGTGTTGTGGTGATTGCTGTAAATCGCATGTCGTAATCCGCGTTTGTCGTTTAGAATGTCCGAAGGTGCACGGCAAGGTGACCCAGTTGCTGTGTCCGAGCCGAAGACGTCATGGCTACCACGTGTGCATAGACGAAACCGCGTTGTGCAATGGTCGCCCCGACTGTCCGTACGGGGAAGACGAAGACGCTGTAAATTGCCTTTTCTACAAAACGGTGATTACTTTCTTTTCATTTGTCGCGCCGACCGCCGGCCGGCTTGTGTTCACGGTTCATTGCACGATGCAAACTGACAGGTGCTCTTAAACTTCTGTAATCTGACCGATGCGGGGTGTTGTTCTACCGACCGGTCGGTGGTCGAGCCGAGCCGGATCCAACGACGGACCGATCCAGTCATTTGACCGACCAGTGATGACGATTATAACTGACTGAATCGAGGATACCGATGAGCCAGACTCGTACCTCCCGCACAGACCACGTTACGGTACTTTCGCCTGTCTATCGACAAGGACTACGCTCGGCTCGGCTCGGCTCGGCTCGGCTCGGCTCGGCTCGGCTCGGCTCGGCTCGGCTCGGCTCGGCTCG